AACCATGAACTGGCAATGTTCATCATGAAATTAGGTTTGTAACGAGGTTCATGCCCATCCCTACTCTTGAATGTGGAAGAAACAAATGGCTGCACAAGATTGAATGAGGTATTCCCTGTTTACTTCCCTGCGGATGGTGGGAGTGAGAGAGCAACAAGAATCTACCCACCTTCCCTGCCCTCTCAGTATGCCTGCAGCACTTCCAATGAACCTAAACTTCCATGTAGGAGCATGGCATTCAAATAGAATATTATGCAGTCAAGTCCTAGATTTCACCTAGGAAAATTAATAATGCAATCTAGGCATACAACAGTATGCCCTCTTCTAATATGTTCCCGCATAGGCGCTCAAGAACTAAGCTGGGAGGACAAACATACTCCCTTCTTGCTTTCCACTTCAAATAAGGGATCAGTTGAATGTATAGTCCAATCCAGCCTATTGCCCATTTTCTTTGATATGGGCTGTGACAGTGATTTAATATATCTGCTTGCAGTTTCTCTCCTTCTTCAGTACAGACACTGTCACCTGAAGCAGTGGTTCCCAGCCTTTTCAAATATGAGGCCCCCTTTTTAATATCAAAAAATTTCATACACACCTGATAGTAGTTGTACTATTATTCTCCATTGACTGAGAAAATACATAATGACAAAAAGATCAATGCTTGGTGTACATAGGGATTCATGGACCCCCTTGAATAGCTCTGTGCCCCTGTCGGGGTCCATAGCCCCCGGGCTGGGAATCACTGACCTGGAGGGTATGTAGTTATGCTGGTCTAGTCCTGACATCATCAGTGATTCACCTGACTCTGATCACATTGGAGGCCAGACCAGCAGGCAAAGGGTGTATCTTTCATGTTTGTGAGTCTCAAGTTTCTAAAGGGCATCAGAGGTCAAAAACAGCACTTTGAATTGATCATGGAAGCAAATTGGCAGCCATTGTATTTGTTGCAGATAGGATATCTATGTACATGCCACCCAATAGTAGATAAAAGGTGAATGACTCCAGTTGAAAAGTTAATTTCAAGGGCATCCCCATGTAGAATGTATTACACAGAGTGGAAAAGCATAGATAAGTGTAACATGGCTAGACAAGTCTAGAAGAGAGAAGAGCCTACCAACTCAAATGAATAAAAAGGAACTCTTAAGAACAGATCTCACCTCTCTTTCTTAAAGTAAGGGTGAATCCAGGAGAATCTTTACCTGATCAGACAGGGTAATCCCTGCCCCTTCGGTTACAGACAAATCAAAATATTGAGATTCCCTACTACTATAATTCTGGATTCAGTTTCTACCTGTCCACCCTCAAATTTGACCACCGTTTTCAAAAGGACACAGATACCTGTTCTTGAATACTTAGTGAAGCATAGAGCTGGTTGTCACCAGCATACTGAGGATACTGAACCCATACACTACAGATGAATGCGTTCAGCAGCTTCATTCATAGACTAAAGAACCCCGGTGACAGCACTGACTGTTGCACCGCATATAATCAATCCCAGGAGGTTGACATGGCATCTGTAGTGGTAACTGTCTGCTTCCTATAATACAATAAAAGGCTGAAACTACTGAAGAGCCCCTCGTGAATTTCCCGCCAGGCATTTTAAACAGCCCAAAATAACAAAATGATCAAATATGTCAAAAGTCACTGAAATATCTAACTGAATCAACAGGGAAAAATTCCTGTTTTCAGTCAGTAGATATATGTCATCTACCAGTACTACTGAAGCAGCCAGATTGAAGAAGAAGCTAGATTGAAAAAGTTCGAGAAATTACATATTCAGAATGTTATAAAATTCCTGAAGTCACTTTGGTGCCACCAGATTGGTCATCTTGTCCAAGAATAGAAGATTAGAGAAGGACAAAAGCTGTCCAGATTGTCCTTCGTTACTTCTTTAAATACCCATGGGAAAACACCTTCTTCCAGTGCAGTGTAATAAATCCCATCCAATGATCCTTTAAGCTTTTCTTGGTTGAACTTAACCAGCCAAGGTGACCAAGGCTGTGACTTGCAAGTGGTGGCCTTCACAACCACAAACACCAGTAAGAGTAAGCAAACTGAAACAATCCAAACAGTTGAATAACTGTATTCAGCAATGCAATAGACCAGACAAAGGATTTTGTGCTCAGGGGAACCCAGAATTCAGACTGGAACAAATAGGAGTACGGAAGGCCCTTAGATCTTCCACACCAATTTACATTTATTTTTGGGTCATCCAGTGGGCCTCAATGCCCTGATGGCAGCAAGTATTAATAAATACCCATTGCTATAGGCTCTGAAAAGACTTGGATGTAGTGTATGAATGGTCTTTATGGCAGTGGGGGTTGAAAAGTAGTGGAATACACACCACAAACATACAATAATTAAAAATACTTAGGAATGGGTTGCTAATCCATGACCTCCATTACACTGCTTTGAATAAACTGGAACATTGCAGAATGTACAAAGGTTTGATGGATGGATGTCTTAATTTTTTTTCTGTAACAGGATATGAATGTGAATCATTGGAAATTAATGATTCTGTCAAGAGGAAAATAAAAGCCTTGTTACGTGATGCCGCCAGAAAGTCTTGTATATCTCCAGGACAAATGGAGGATGAATACTTCGGCAGTATAATGATTGGCAGCACAAACCTCTCTGGCTGTCTAAATGAATCAGTATCAGCTCACTTACTTTGAGTCCAGCTATAACAGAGAAAACTAGAAATCAGCTCTTTAAAATGGTGATGGAGCAAATTGTGGTGGTGGTCCAGAGACCATGGTGACTCTGACTAATAGATGAAAGTGGGGCAAATCACAGCAATATCAGCAGAAGCAGGCAGAAAACTCTCAGCAGAAGCAAATTTAAATCTTCCTTTCCAGAAAATGCAGAAAGGAGGTGAAAGAGTTCAAAACTGCATCAGTTGTGCCTATGGCACTCTATTCTCCATTTTCTAGGATAAAAAGTTAGCCTGTCTTTGCAGAGAGGATGGGTGCAGGCCAGGGGTTCTATCATTCTTCTTCAGTTGCTGCGGCTTGGGTGGAAGAAGCTAGAATGGATAGGCCAGTGCTGAACAGCTATGTCTTACTTGCCAAAAGGATCTCATTATTAAGGATGGAAACAGGAGAACTGCAACCAGTATACACATCAAGTGACCATTTCAGGGATCCTTCCCAGTGCTGCTAGCCTATTAAAACAAAGTAAGCATTAAACCTGGGACCTTCTGTAATGCATGGTATGCATTCTGTTGCTATACTCTGACCTCCACCAGCTAGGTGGTGCTTCTGGGTTTGTTAAAGGATATCAGCTGTACCCTCCTTTAATGCTGGAATCCTTTAGCTTGATCAGCTATGGTAGTGCTGTAGAATTAGGTCGTAAGTCTTGTAGTTTCTTTTTTGATAATGTGATATAGACATCAAATAAGAACTGTGTGAAATACCTCTAGATCCTCCCACTGAGAAGCATTAAATTAACGCTGGTGACATGGCTTGGCTGCATTCTTTTTTACACCATTGAAATTTATCACTCCATCGGGTGATTAATTGCAACCTTTTATAGGAAATTTTGATTCATGGCATGTTCAAAAGGAAATTGTAATGCAGGATTACAATAAAGCAACTTCTAAAGCTCTCTGGTCTTCTTAGAAAAAAAATCTCACTTCTGCATATATTTGATATTTGATGAGCTATAAAGATTTATAGCTGTTAACTGGTAAAATCTAGAGGAGTGCATTTTTTCATAAGCTGCTTGATCTGGCCCATTCATCTCTCTGAGATCACTCAAAGCATCACTGCAGAATGAATCAGACATCCTATTCTGATCATTCCCCCAGCTTCAGGAAACTGCTTAATGAAAATTTGTTCACTAACCATTCGACCAGCTCCACATATTGCTTTCCAACCTGTGTGATTGTTTACTTTTGCAGAATTTTTTCCCTTGAGCAAAATAATTTATTTCACAGGAACTCCTGCCACTGTTCAGTCTGTGCCGTGATGTGGTGAAAATGTTATGGAAAGAATATTTTGTTACCCCTGTACAATCATACAGGTGTAAGACCAGAAGAAAACATTTGTAAATTTCTTACAAATTTACTTACTGGTTTGAGTTTCACTATGGTAAGGACTGTTCTCAGAGGGTTTGCAGTTTTCAGTTGGTTAGAGGTGTGTGTGTTCACACAAAAACCTATTTATTATCCATACATTTTAGTATTAATTCAAAATAAGGAAATTCAGCCTAGTGGATTATATTTGAGTGAGTTTCTAAAGAATATGTTTGAATGTTGGGCTATATTACTTAGTGTTGAGAAGTAGAAGAATGATAAATAACAATTAGAGTGGCAAATCCCCCTCCCCTAATTCATGGTGACTTCGACAGCCATGGTGCATTGAGATCTATGTCAATTTTGGCTATTAGAAAGCTCCATCGTCTGGAAGTTTAACCATTTCAAAAACTATTTTTCCGGTTTATTGAGAGTGTTGGGTGTTGTCACAGTCCATTTACTTATTAAATCCCTTTAGACAATGCAGTCTAAGTTTTATTTTAATTTTTATTAAGAAATTTATCCCACCTTTGTCACTTTAAATTGCATCAAGACAGTCATCTCTCAGTCAAGAAAATTAATCACCTACTCTGCCCCCTAATCTGGTTTCTATTTTGGATGGACCAAGCTGACAGGAGAAGTTGCTCATCGTGGTCATTCAGGTTCTTTGTTGGCTCAAAAGCTAAACCAGCAGAAACACACCAGACTTGTATACCTGATCATCATCCTCTTTTGGCAGTGGCAGTGAAATGCCTTCAGGGTGGTGCCGGGCCTGTACCCAGAGACAGTGTTCTCTTGTGTACAATGTGTATGTTGGTATACTTTTCCTACCACCGTTATTGAAGGTTTCGATTTAAGGGAGTATACTCTGAAATCCTTATAACCTCACTGCAGTTAAATTATAGGTCAAATGTTGAAAATATTATTTTATTTCACAAATAGCTGAGCTTAGTGTATTTAATATTTGTCTTATATGCCTTTTCAGAATTATAGATCAGCGGTTTGAAAGAGTTTCATATTTTGTCTTTGGAGATTTCAACTTTCGACTGGATGCAAAGTCAGTGGTAGAGGTAGGATCTTCTCCTTTCTTTACATCTGAGGATGTTCATCTAAAAATAATCTTTAATAAATGTTTCCAGGTTGGTGTCCAGTTTGCAGTAGAAATAACAAGCATTGATAATGACAAAAAGAAGCCGAAGTTGACATTGGCCAACAAGTAGTATTGTTTAATCTGGGTATCTTCTCTTACTGTTACAGTAGCACACAGATCTTGCAGCTTCTTGCGACTGAAGCACAGTCAGAACCAGAACTTTAAACAGGTCAGAACCAGTCTATGTGCAGACAGCTGTTGGCCCATTAGTAGAACGCACACTTGCTACCACCTAGCAATCACTTGATTTTTACCTGGGCTGCTGGCTACCAAGAAACATACAGTGCAATCCTAGGCCTACACCCTTCCAAGCCCATTGGCAGATCATGAGAAGGGAGGGCAGGAAGGGTTGCATCAGTGCTTAGTTCTTGTGGCCCTTTCTTATACACCCAGGGAAATGCTGATCACCACCTTGGGGTCAGGAAGCAATTGTTCTCCAGGCCAGTTTGGCCAGGGATCCTGGAGGGTTTTTTGGGGTTTTCGCCCTCTTCTGGGCATAGAGCAGGAGTCACTGGGGGTGTGGGGGGAGGTATTTGTGAATTTCCTGCTATGTGCAGGAGGTTGGACTAGATGACCCTGGAGGTCCCTTCCAACTCTATGATTCTATGATTCATTGACTTCATTGGAGTTAGAAGAGTGTAAATCTGTTTAGGATTGACCCCTCTCCCCCAAAAAAGTCTGGGAGAGGTCGCAGTCAGCACAAGTGTTTATTATAGGAACACAAAGATGATATACACACATGTCAATACTGTTTCTTAGCCATAGGAGGAAGTCACCAAGCTGGCAGAAATTCTTCATTCTCCCCAAAGAACTGCCATTCTGTATATCCAGACAAGTGTGGCTAAACCCTACCTGAGACCTTAGCATTCGGGAGCTATGGTCAGTTTTGTTGCTACAACTATGCAAATGGTGTTCTAAGGACTGTTCGAGGCAGTGGCCCAATATGTAGTTTCTGTATGCATTGGAGTGAAGAACTGAGATGGACAGATGTGCTATAAAATAATAAGATCGTGTTCTGTGTGTGGCGGGGTTGCACATCAGCCTGAGACTCAAGCCCATGCCTTAGTGAATGTAGAACATTCATGCTGGATTAGTGTGTGACCTGACCCATTTCATAGGGAGTTCTTCTGCAGTAGGACCTGAAAGGCAGACTGAGTCTGTACAGTTTGGTCAACACCACATATTTGTCATGAGTTGTCTTGCTGTCCATCATCCCTCAGGGGATCGTAATTAATATGCAGCTTTCTGGAAAATTTTTTTACAAGGAATAGGAGATCTCTCAAACTTGATACTTTGTCTCCTATGTAGGTATATTTCATTGAGGATGCTGATCTCCTCCCTTTCTGGATGGCTCACTTTGGGGGGGAAAGTTGCTCAGCTTACTTGCTAGCATACAGTTGGTGTAGGTCCGGTTTTGGAATATTTTGTTGAGCGGCACAGTTTGAGATTCATGATGCCAGGGCCTCCTGCACCGGTGGAGGAAAGTGCCGTCAAGTCACAGCTGACTTATGACGACCCTGTAGGGTTTTTTAAGGCAGGAGACAAACAGAGATGGGTTTGCCATTCCCTGCCTCTGTGTAAAACAAAGTTTGAGTCCAGTGTGCTTGCCCATGAAAGCTTATACCTTGAATAAAACATCGTTGGTCTTAAAGTTGCCACTGGACTCAAGCTTTGTTCTGCTGCTTCAGACCAACACAGCCACCCACCTGAATCTGCTTCTGTCGTCACCCTGGACTTCCTTGGTAGTCTCCCATCTAAGGACTAAGCAGGGCCAACCCTGTTTAGCTTCCAAGATCTGATGAAATTGGGTGAGCATGGACCAAGCATTAGAGGTCCATAATGGCCACACTTTCTGGTTAAATCTCAAAGCTATAGGCATCTATCAACAAACCATTTATTTCAATCTCTCATGTAGAATTATTTCTTTAGTGGTGCAAATTCAAGCCCTTATCGCATTATCACATTAGAGGTCCATAATGGCCACACTTTCTGGTTAAATCTCAAAGCTATAGGCATCTATCAACAAACCATTTATTTCAATCTCTCATGTAGAATTATTTCTTTAGTGGTGGCAAATTCAAGCCCTTATCCCAAAATATTTTTGTTGAGCACTTCCCCTAATCACTTTGCACAGAAATTTCAGTTCATACTCCAGGTATGAAATTATTCTAGTTGTCTGGGAGGGGGGAAACCCTCTCTTTTCTTTTGTTGCCTCCTTGTAATAAATTGCAGACAGCGAGTGAATTGCACAACAAATACCCCATAATGGGAACTTCTAATAATAACCTTTCCCAATCCTGATGTGGCTGTTTTCATTTCCAGAGTGCTTTACGAACATTAATTCAGGTTTGCTACATTCATATATCTAAGGCTAGAGACAAAGTGCAGTTTACATATGAATCAAAATTTTTACCAATCAACTTCACAAGCTATGAAGAAATATTGCAAATCCTTTACAATGTCTTTAAACAAAATTAGTATATATCACCCTGCTGTGTCACATGGCGCTACTTGATGAGAGATCCCATTATGATAATAGTCAAGGTGAGATTGCAATCGTTGTCAAAACATTGTGGTGGCATAGATGGAAAGTTTTTGACAGATGTTCTTGTAAATACTGAGCCTTCAGTGAAATGCTCTGCTTATAAGAATTGGGATGCTGTATATGACATGTGGTCTGTCCAGTTAAGGATTCTTTCTGCCTTCAGACACACGTAAATGTATGCTGGAACAACAAATGGATAGTCAGAGATTTTTCATAGTGACTTTTCAGCATCAAAAATGGCTATGTGTATCGATGTGGGATACCTAGTTTCTCCTCCTGTGCCACTATGAGCATCAGTGCAGTCTGATAGCTGGCCTTAAACCAGGGGAAACTGCTTCAAAGTTCCTGCTCAGCCATGAATCCTATTGGAAGATGGTGAATCAGTCTCTCTCTCTTATCTTACCGTACCATACCATACAACAGAGGTATTGAACTCATTTGCTATGAGGGCTGGATCTGATAAATGTCACTTTGTTGAGCCAGTCCATGCATGCTATAAAGATGATTTTCAGATGCTGAATGACAATAGCAGGCATGATTGGATTAGGTGTTATATGCAGAGGGGAAGTAGGCGTGGAGATATCAGCATTGGCAATGAGACAGGAAACCTAGGTCTCAATTCCATCCAGGAGAATTCAGTCCAGGAGGATGCAAAGAATAAATGGACATAAGTCTGACATTAGAAACCACAACATTCAGTTTCTGACCTAAGAGTATCAGTGCTCTTACAAAGGAATTTCAAAGGGAAATTAGAAAGAGAGACTGCTGAATTGCAATTGATAATGAAGCTCAAGGCAATGCACCCTGTTGGACCAAATTGAGTTCATTTTCCTATCTCATTACCAATGCGTGCTATTTGGCATCCGAAATCATTCCACTCTCCAAGATATAAGGACCAATCCACGTGTTCTAATTCCTAATCAGGGTCTTTTTGAAAGAAAATAAATCCAGATATGAACAGAGAAATCCAATCATTTTTAAAAAAAACCCACAACTTTTCAGAATAATCCAAAAGAATTTCCACAGTGTACATTGTGCTTGTCCAAAGAATTCACCCACCCTCTCCCTCCCTCCCTCCCTCCGAAGAAGCATGCTTGCACACAGAAGCTTATACCTGGAATAAAACGTTATTGGTCTTGAAGCTGCAATGGGGACTCCTTCTTCACCTCCCTCCCCAAAAGAGGAGGAGCAGCTCTGGAGAAGGAAGCAGAAGCCCCCCCCTTCTCTCTCTGTGTGTGCATGTGTGCTTGTGTGTGCGAGAGAAAGTGTGAGAGCGTGAGAGAGAGAGAGAGAGAGAGAGAGAGAGAGAGAGAGAGAGAGAGAGACTTGTCTTTGTATCTCTCCTGCATGAAGCAGGAAGCAGCCACAGAGCTTGGAGGGGGGGAGGCAAGAGGCAGGAAGCAGGAAGCAAAGAACCACTGAGAGAGCTGGGAAAAAGCAAACTAGGATGTAGCTGCAAAAGCAGCCCTGGGAAAGGAAGCAGGAAAAGGAAGTTGCTTGAGGGGCTGGTTTTGAGCCCTGTGTGGGCTGGATTCGGCCTGCGGGCCACACATTTGACAACCCTGCCGTACAAGATCAATGCAAGGATAAAGGAGTGGGCTTTAGAGAACCAGAAATGCCACTTTCCTCATTGAAGAAGGGTGAATAAACTATTCATAAATTATTGTACATAACACCCTAAGCACCTTTCTGAACCCATTGAAGTCAATGGGCTTGTAAAGGGGTAGCTTTGCTTTAGATGGCACTGTCAGTAGTCTATTTATCATATGCCCTGCTACCTTCTTAGGGTTGATCTACAGCAAAGATATTGGCTGTGGCTGATTCCCATGCTACATTGATCATATTGGAAGAGAGTGCTGGGGTGGAAAGCACCCATATGACTGAGTAACACTCCTGTGTTTGTGAGGGAGAACAAGTGAGCAGCTTTGCAGTGGTAACGCTGCTAAACCAGCCCTCGCTCCTTGAATGGATCCCCAGGATGGGCTATCCCTCGGTCTGAAGTCTGAGGAATATATTTCGTTATATTATGGCTCATCTCTACCACTTCCTCTGCCTACTTCTTCAAAATCTAAAGATTATTTTAGCTAGCAGGCAGTGTGATATACTATAGTGCCAAGGTTCAGCCACTGAACCATTACCCTAGGTATATGTAACTAAATTTAATACATTTTCCCCTCTCCATCACTTTCTCCCGTCCATTTAAGACAATGTTTCTGCAGGAGATGACACAGCCAAATATTTAGGTACAACAAGAACCTCCAAGTGCCGGATTTGATGCATTAAACTGTTAAAACTGCCTGCCTAAATAGCAGCACAAGGCAGTATATTTCCAAAAGACATTCTCAGCAGAGCTACTGAAAGAGGAGATATATGAG